AGTCGGGAGAGGTGTGTTGTGCCTTGTGGGTCACCTCCCTGACTGGGGCTCGAATTCACGCTGCAGTGGCTATAGATAGTTTCATAGCAGTGTGCTTTAACCCCTCGTGCCATCTGGGAGGCTCCTGTTTGCTGTTTTTCTATCAACAAGTTTACTTTATATTGATTTGTTGCACACAAACATTTAATTAATTTCAATAATAAGTGAATCAAACATTTGAGTTTTTTGAATGAAAGCCACTTTTGTGACTCCAAAACAATATTTCAGAGGCATGAGACAATAGTTAGTTTTTGTTGTCTCAAATGAGTTATTTGAAACAAATAGGATTTTGAAGTCATAGATAAAGCATGCATACTGGTATAATGAATGTTCACATCACATTTATTGCTACTGATGTTGTTTAAAGTGTGTTTCATCACACACATACACAAAAACATACTGATTGGGGAAGAGTTTTTAGATTCGTGGTCTAACATCCTAAATAAAATCTGCACTAACTTTAATGTATTTTTCATCATAAAATATGTACTTCTTACTAATTAGGCACTGTTTTGGGGGGAATAACATTGGCAAAAACATCTGCTTTTTCTTCTCATGCTTATCTATATTTGTATGTTCCAAGACACTCAGATGTCACTAAAAGTAAACAGAAACTATTTATTTGAATATAAATTGAAATCCAAGAAGATATAATAATTGATTTATTATTCATGGAACAGAATAAATTGATCACAAGAGGTCAATTTAGTATGTTACCATTTCTTCCAGTACTGCTCTAGCAGTCTATTAATGTATATCTCAGGTGCCTTTTTAAGTATAAGAAGGCAAACTGGGGGAGGGGGGTCATTACAAGACAAGACAGATATTAATGAATCAATAATCCATGCCCTTGAGTCTTAGTACTTTTTAGATTATCATGTTTGAAAACCGCTAATCTTGTACAATATGTCTATCTCCTATATATTCAACTTTAAATAAAGAACATGGCATATATTATTAATAAAGATTTATATTGTAAATAATAAATTTAATTTTAAAAGATTTATTTATTTATGCATACAAGAGTTGGTGTTTAGGCCAACTCTGTGTGGGGGTGGGGGGGGAGGGTGAGAACTGTCACCAGAGACACAATGGGGAGCAGAACAGGCAGATCCACTGAAATACAATGTTAGGGGAGCAGCGGGTGAGACAGGAGAGGTCTGCTGCACCCTTTCAGTCACCTCCTTGGCCTGGGATCAAACTCCAGAGGCTGCTGATAGCTTCGTATGGCTGAGACTTTACCCTTTCAGTCACCAGGGAGGCCCTAAACTTCTTTTTCTAAATATTATTGGTGTATCTATTAATGCTTTTATATAAACATATGATATTTTTCCCCCCACTTAGAGTACACTTTGATGCATTATTTGACCAAAGAAATTAATGGTACATATTATTACAAACATAATATAAAATAATCTTTGTATTTCATGTTTTCTTTTTCTTAATTTTAACTGTGCTTTTTAAACTGTATCCTTCTATTTCCTCATTTCATCCAGCCTGGGGGTTTTGATTGGTCAATAAATTATTAAACTAAGAAGGAAGAAAAGCTACTAGGCAGGAGGAAGCTTTCAATTCTTTTTGATGGGCAAATTGAATTCTGGATTCTTCAACTTTTTCATTATTGTTTGGTTGGAAAATCTTTTATGAAGTTCCTAATAGTGTTCTAGTATAAACAGAATGAACCTTTTGCATTTCGCACATCTCAAAAGATAGCAGGTGATTTATTTTCTCTTTCTATAACAAATACCATGGCAATACCTATTAGCTTTGTCTTTCAAATCTATCCAGGATATAAACTATTATTATTAGCTTCACCATTTCCATAATGGCTGAAACCTTCTTTGTCTTCAGCCTTGACTGTGATGATAGTTCCCTACTGGCCTTCCTGCTCTTACCCTGCCCACTATTTCCTCCTCTGCTACTACCTGTTCACAGCTCAGTACCTAGAGTTACCCTGTTAGAACATGAAACAGATCATGTAACTCTTCTGCTTCAAACCCTCCAGTGTTTTCCCATCTCATGAAAACCAAAAGCATTTAAATGGGCTAGAAGGTTCTGCCTGATATACACACAGTGCTGCATCTGCCTTAACTCTGCTGCCTCTCATCTGCTAACTCTACCCCAGTGACACTAACTTCCTTGCTGTCCCTTAGTCACATGAGTTCTGTGAACACCATAGAGGATTCACTATTCAACAGAGCTTGGGATATTATTCTAGAGCTCTTCTTGATTTGTTCGATTATAAAAATGCCGACTCAAGTGAGACTTTCCAACTCTCCTGTTTGAAATTGCAATACTTTCCAATGCTCATCATTCCTTTCCCTTTGTGATATTCTTTTCACTATGAGATGTATCATCCATAAATGCCATATACAATTATTGCTAGTTTTTCACTTGGCATATTTTCAGCCTCCAATAGAAAATCTCTATGACAGCAGGGATTTTTGTTTTATTCATCACTATAGTGAGAACAATGTACATAATGGATTAAATGCACAACATATATTTGTTGGGTTTATAAAGAAATTTTTAAAAATGCAAAAAATCCCTATAGGTACAACCACATGGAAATCACTAGTTGTTTTCCATCAAACCGACGGTAATACTGATTCTCATCAGTAAAATAAAGTCAATACTACTATAAAATTAAGATTCCTAGTGTTTTTTTATTGTTTAAATGAAGTCATTATCATTGAGTCAGCTTTCCACTAATGGAAAGAAGCTATTAAACTACAGTTACATGTTTTCTTATAATTTACAGCTACTTTTACAGCATTAACTTTCATGTGAACCAATTATTCACTTATAGGTGTTTCTACTGACAAGAAGGATTTTATAGGCTTCCAATGGTACAGAAGCAGGCATAAATGGACAGAGCAAGGGAAAACTAGTAGAGGGAATTGAACAGCCATCTATTGTCAACAAAGAATTTGTATCAGTGCCCTATCTAATTCTGAGGATGTTGTAGGATGTGTCCTCATTACCACATTACTATGTAATGAAGGGAAAACCACATTACCCATAATCATGGGTTGCTATACAGATAAGCCTGGGAAGCCTAAAGTCCTCTAACAAATATAGTGAAAATATACAGCCTTAAAAACATGTTTGTTTTTTATACTGAAGAATCCAGAGAATGTTGCAGGTTACTCAGAGGTAGGGAATAGGGTTTATTTCCAGCAGGCTGAAGACTGCTTTTTCATTTCCAATTACTAATTGAAATTGATACCCCTCTTCCCAAGCACATTGGAGGGGAACGGACACAGAATATAGAAAAAGTACACATCACTTCAAGTAACATCTTGGCATACAAAATGTAGTGTCATAACGACACTTAACTAAAAGGGAATTTTGATTTAGACAGTTAAGTATTCAACTAATATAGAGGAATAGAGTGGATTATGGTGAACATTCTACAATTTCTGTTATAGTTTCTTCTTCCAAATATTTATGCCATCCTCCTTCCACATGAATTCTGGGACTATCTCCCTTCTTAAATCCAACATCACCAATTCCTATTCACTGACTGCTTGTATCTCACAATTGACGATCTCTGATGACACAAAATCATCTGAGTGCACCTGTTCAGGGCAGGGGCCATGGAGAACAGGCACAATAGGCCTCTGAGAACCTGACTGCGGGGCTCATGGGCTTTGATGACAGAGTGGCACAGCTGTTTCTGCAAGGGCTGGAAAAACAGCCAATGACATGCGGCTGTTATGAGGAGAACAACTGCTGTTACAGAGGTCCAGTGTTGCCAGGGTGATGCTCACTGGAACTGCAAGTCCACAAGAAGGCCAGAGGAAACAACAGAAGCAGTAGTTCTCCTCCAGCCCTGCAGTCTCCAATGAGCACCTGTCATTGCCAAAGCCTAACAGACTTGGCTGGCCAAGCAAAATCCCAGTTTCTACATTACAAAAGCAAAGTATAGGAGTGATAGCTTTCTGTGCAGTGAAAACAGTTTATTAACTAGCCCATCCTTGTACAAGATAATCAACTCACGCATAGGACAGAACATATCCTTTCCAATGAATCCTCCTATAAAACTTGTTGACATTTTGCAAGAGCATACTTGTCCTTTTCCGAAATACCAAGTATTATTCACTATTCAAAAAGAATGGAGAAAGCTTGTCTTCAAATGATCCAAAAGCCAGTGTCCACCTTTAAAGTGGTTCCATCTTGCTTTTATAAAACAAGTTACAACAGTTAATTAACCTAAATTTTTAGGAGTTATAAATTTTACTTAGAATCTCAGCATGGCTTCAATCTTTAGAGTGACCAGAAATTTGACCACTGGCTTACAATCTTTTAGTTTAAGTAACCAGGATGTTTAAGGGCTAATTTTATCTCTTTATCCTACATAATCCTATAGGTAATGTCATTAAAAAATACATGAATGACAGGAATTTTAATACTTTAAACAGCAGATTTTTCTATCTTAATCAAAATTTTTCTATCTTAAATCAAAACAAATCTATATTCATATCATATGTTATAGGATTTTGCATATAATAAAATGCATTCCTTCTTATAATTTGCGAATTGCCCAAGTGCATTCAGTTTTGGAAAATAGCATGCCAAGTCAGTAATTATTCCTGTCATACTCCTTATTATTAAACTGTTAGTTCAGTAGTTCAGAGAAATAGCAATCCTATGGCAGGAAGTACTAAAATCCTTACTCATTAAAATAATTCTTTGTTTTTATCCCCCTTAAATCACTTTCCAGTGGAGCAATCCAAACCTTATTACATAGACTTGATCTTGATACCTACATTTAGAAAGAACTTATTATAGCAACAAAGATTAATGGAGTTAGAAATGGCTTCCATAGAGATTACTTAAGTAGCTCTCTATAACTTTATCAATGAAGTTCCTTTTTAATGTTTCTTCATAGTAGCAGTGGGGAATTACCATACATAGTTATCAATGTAGGGGCTAATAATATTTAAAACATTTCTTACCTATTAACATCCCATATTTTACTTGTTGTATCCAATGAAGAAGAGGCCACAAAATCACCGCAGGAATGCCACGAGCAGGACCACACAGCGTGGTTGTGTCCTTCAAAGGTCAAAATGCAGCTACCTTTGGACAGATCCCACAACTTCACTGTACAGTCACCACTTGACGTAGCCAGCTTATTGCCACTATTCACAAGATATAAGAAGATAACATGCTTTTAAAAATCACTTAATTATTTTTACAAACAGTTGTCTTCTGTGGGTAATTTGTGGATGTATATGTATCAGTGATTTGAGGAGCATGATTATCTAGAACTTACTATATTGATTCTACACAATGAGATACTAGCATTGCTAATTAATTCATACTGATGAAAGAAACTGTTGTATACTTTCTAGACTAATCTTCTAGGTTAATTTTCTTTACCAGTTTACTTTTTGGAATGTGTTGGGTTAAGGGTTATGTGTTGGCATCAATGGCTGATGAAGCCTCGAAATAATGACTATAGGTGTATATTTTGAAAGTGTAGTATAAAATTGTAGGCCAGAATCGTTTATGTTTACATTTGTTAAGTGCTCTAGGAGTATAGAGTTATGGATGAAAAAAGGTTCAGGAAAGAAGGATCATGAGAAATGAAAGATTGTGAAGTGCTGAGTAGCTGACAGTGAATCACTGGGTTTTAGATTTCAGACATCAGTAGATATTTTAAAAAGTAGTGACTTTCAAATGCTGAACACAAAAAGAATTTCAAGTAAGGAGTGGGTGTCACTGACATAAGCCGAAACATTTAGGTTTTATTTAGTAAATTATCAATTTCAAGAACATTTCAGTATCTTTTCTATTATTCAGTATTCTCTTGCATTGTAAGTTCCTTCTATTTGTTCTCTGAGTAACTTGAATATAATTAATTGACTTTTTACCCTCCTACCTAACTAGGTTATTTTTTTTTTATGGGCATTTTGCTTCTTCTACAGGATCAAATATAATGAAGAACAACAGTAATGCTTCAAGACATCTATGAGTGAATGGATGGATGGAATAATAAAGGCAAGCTATAAGTGAAGAAAAAGTACCTACTGAAAGTATGTCTAAGAGAGGAAATGGCAAGACTAACACAAGCATTTTGTTTGTTTGCTTGTTTTTATTATGTTCATACTAAGGGACAACAAAATTTTATCTGCAGGGAAGAAACAGTCACTGGATAGTGGCTTACAGGTGCTACAGAAAAATTGGATCACAGAGTGAAGAACTCATTAAAACTATACAGTGGGGAAAAAAAACTATACAGTGAATCTTTACCTTGTAGAGAAGCAAAAGTCATTCTAACGTAAAAGGTAATATACACAATTATGCATATTTCTGAAGTCTTTTCTAAGCCACTGGAAAATCCTGTCTGTTCACTCTACTTTCAATGTGTGTACAGGATATATATCATCAAGCTAGAGATAGAGGGCTCTTTGCTTTGCTCCTGACAAAGATACTAACTAACTAGAAGGACAATCCACCATGGCTTGGGGTAAAACAGAAATACCCCTTGGACATCAAAGACCAACAATGACCTGATGGAGGAGACATGGCAATGATTTGCAGATGGTAGGTGTAGTTAAACACATGGAGATTGTCGCCTGGGGTAACAGACATGAACAGGAAAGATGCAGGTTCAACCAGGGGCTCTGGGAAGTGGAGAACAGCAATGACAGGATCATATAAAAAACATATATAACTTTAGATGAGGGGAAACACATAAGGAGGAGCTAAGGTCCTTCACACAGGCTTGGTCTGTAGTAAGGAAAGAGACATAACTCTCTATCGCATCCCTTAATTTTTTGACCACATGAAATGCACCGATAATGCACAGACTGCAAAGTCTCAGATCTGGAACTCCAGAAAATAGGGACATTGGTGGTGCCATAAATACAAACCAGACTTTCCCTCACCCAGCACATTCACACAAATGACTAGACACTTTTTTTAAGCTTTATTTATTTATGCATACAGACCTAGGGTACAAGCCAGAGGTGCAGGGGCTGTGAGAGGACTCATCAGAGACAGAGCAGGGAGCAGAACAGGCAGACTGACAAAGTACACTGCTGAGGCAAGCAGGGGGCAAGACAGAAGAGGTCTGTCACACCATGTGGGTCACCGCCAGGGCAGGAATTGAACTCATGCTGGAGTGGTTTTAGCTTCTCAGGGCTGTGCTTTAACCTGCTATACCATCAGGGAGGACCTGTGACTAGACACTTTTAACCCCCCATCTCTTCCCCAACACACACACACTGCTGGTATCACACTACACAACTGTAGGAAAATATCTAGTAAGTGGAGACTGGAAAACATAATACTGAGTGGCTACTGGGCTAATAAGGAAATCAAGGGAGAATTTAAAAAATACCCACAGAAAAACAAACATAAAGAACTTACAGTATACAGCAAAGCAGTACTGAGAGCACTAAGGACATGAAGGAGCAAAAGAGATCTAAAGTAATAGCCTAACCTTAAATTTTAAGGTCCTAGAAAGTAAGAACAAGCAAAACTTAGTCACTAGAAAGAAGGAAAAAGGAAAACCTGGAGTGGAAGTGAACAAAATAGAAATTTTAGAAGTCTAAAAAATCAATGAAACTACAAGATAAACAAGATAGACAAACCTCTAGCTAGATCACAAAGAAGAAAGGGAGGAAAGGCTCAGCAATAGAATCAGAAATGAAAAAGAAGTCGCAATAGACATTGCAAAATACAGAGAATCATAATATTATAAATATCTTATGCACACAAATTAGATAACCAAGAAGAAATGAACACATTTTCAGAAATATATACAAGACTGAATCAGAAAAAAAATCGAAAAATCTGAGCAAACCAATTACAAGTAAGGAAATTGAAACAGTAATGAAAAGTCTTCCAAAATATAAAAGCCTAGCCCCAGAGAGTTGCATTAGTAAATTTTACCAAACTTCAGACACACTAATACCTATTTGTCTCAAACTCTTCCCAAAAAGTGAGGAAAATGTATTGCTTCCAAACACATTTTCTGAGACCAGTGTTACTCTGATACGAAAAGCACACAAGAACATCACACACAAAAAAGAAAACTCTGGCCCAATGTCCCTGATAAACACAGATGTAAAAGTCCTCAACAAATTTTAGCAAACTAAATGGCACATACATTCAAAGGATTAACTTTATGACCAAATGGGATTTATTACAGAATGCCAGGATGTTTCCACATCCACAATCCCAATGTCATTTAACAAATCAACAAAATGAATTATATAATCATATATAAATAGATACAGAGAAAGCACTATATGTTCCAACTTCCATACAGGATAAAACCCTTTAAAATGAGGATGGAGGGCCCTCTCTGGTGGCACAGCGTGTTAGGACACAGCAGTGCAAGCTAGATGCAGCAGCTCCAGTGCAAGTTCAATTCCTGGCCCCGGAGGTGACCCACATGGTGTGGCAGACCTCTCCTGTCTTGTCTGCTGCTCCCCTCAGCAGTGCACTTTGTTGATAGGCCTGTTCTGCTCCCCACTCTGTCTCTGGTGAATCTTCTCACTACCCCTGCACCTCTGGCCTGTACCACAGTTCAGTATGCACAAATAAATCTTAAAATATATAAATAAAATGAGGATGGAAAGAGAATATCTCAACATAATAAAAGTCTTACATACTAAACTCACAACTATCATCATAGTAGGTGGTGAAAAAAATGAAAGTTTTTTCTCTAAGATCTAAATATAATTAATGAAAAAACTAATTGTTGAAATTAAGAAATCAATGGATGGATTTAATACCAGATTAGACAAGCAATGACCAGAGTTAATGAAATCAAAGATAATTTTTTTAAGAAGTTAGGACTTCTAGACTATAGATAGAAAGGGAAATGAAAATATTTCTTGGTATGTTCAGGCTGCTATTATAAAATACAATTGGCATTGACTGGGTTACTTTAATAACAGAAATTTATTTCTCATGGTTCCAGAGCCTAGGAAGTCCAAGATTAAGTTATTGGACAGTTTGACTTATGACTTGCAGATGGTTATCTTCTTGCTGTGTCTTAACATGGTAAAGAAGGTGGAGAGGAAGAAGATGTGTCTCTCCCTTTACAAAGGCATCACTCTCATCAAGAACCTCTGCCCTAATGAACTGATCTAAATTTAATTATCTTCCAAAGGTCCCACTTTCTTTTATCATCATTTAGGTAGTAAGGTATCAACATAGTAATTTTTAGGGGAACACATATTTAGTGCATAACAGTGCATAAATTAAGAAACAATGATAAGAGAATAAAAATATATGTAAAAAGAAATACATCTTTTTCTGTTTAAAATCTCAGAAGAAAATTAAATAGATGCAAAACTAAAAAAATGAAGATTGAGAAAATATGGAAATTGGAAGATTTAAGACTAGAGCCATAAATTGGGACCAAAAATTCATATCAAGATGTATAAGTAGGGTACACACGAAAAAATTATCCACTTAGATACATTTTAGCCAACTAACGAGCAACATAAGAAACAATTTCAATAATTAAAAGAATAGGAGCAGAAGAAAAAGTAGACAGAAAGATTATATAGTATTTAATTATAGATTTTACATATATGCTAGAAACTCTACTAAGCAATTTATACATGTATTTGATCCTCCCAAATACCCAATAGAATTGGCACCACTGTTATATTCAAAACACCTAAACAATAACACAGAGCTAGATAGTAGCAGAACTAGAATTTCTTCAAGTAGGGAAAAAATAAATAAAATAAAGTTCAAAAAAATAAAGTTACTATAGCATTATCAAAAACAAAAGCAAATAAAAACATCTTCAACTAAATGAAGCATCTTCCTCTAGAGGAACTACTAAAGATAAATGCAAGTTGGAAAGGACTCATCTAAAAATGAAGAAATGATGAACAAAAAACTGCTGAACATGTCAGCATATCCAACTATTTGCATACAAAATAGTTCTTGAAAAAAATAAGGAAGTAATTATAATATTGGCAATAAAGTTTGTGTCACAAAAGAATGGTTAAAAAGTAATTGCACAATGTTAAGCAAATCTTTATAGTAAAATGTCCAGGGTGACCACTTTAAGAACAGAAATAGAATATATAATTTGTTGACCTGCAAAAGAAAAAAGCTAACGATTATAAAAAGATAATCAAAAGAAAAAATGAGAGAGGGGAAG